CGTGAGAGAGGGTCAGGCATCAAGTGCAAATGTTTACATACTCCCATCAACGCTCTCACCTACCATTGGTTTGTAGCGGCACCAGTCCAATCCTCATTATTTTTCTGCTTGCGAATCCTCATTTGTAGCCGCAGCAGTAGCGGTGCTGGCAGGCGAGAGAAAAGTGGAAACGGGATGGACGGGGCCAGAGCAGCAGCAGTGTGCCGAAAGCTACGCAACCCAGACCACCACAGGATGTGGGAATAGAGGTCGCGCCTCACACGAATTTTCTTCTGCCTTCGGCGCTACTATATGTACCCAAACGAGTGTTGTTGTCGAACTCATCCAAGCGAAAATGTGCGGCGTAACCTCAACAGACACCTGCGCACACCGGACTCAACCTCGCCCAAGATGGACCCCCCAGAAAAACCCACCTGGCTGCGAGCCACGCTGTCGCTCTCCAGCCTAACCCCGTGGAAAATGCCGAAGCTCTCCTCCGCAAACTCCCGGCTCGCCGTTTCCTCAGCGTCGGCGTCACCCGCCTCTTTCGCACCCCCGAAATCCGACCACAGCAGACCGACCGGCACGGTCCCCTGCCCGGGCGCAGCTGCCGTCTCCTCTACCGGCGGGTGCGGGTCCCCGATAGATGCGGCGGGAGGATCCTCCTCGGGCAGTAAGGCGGTATTGGAAGACCCGTCTTCGGGGTTGCTACCGCCGGATCTTGGCCCGTTTTTGACTGCTGTACCGTGTAGGGCAGACGGGTCACCTGCCCCAGATGGTGAGTCCGTCGCAGCTTCCAAGTCGTTCTCCTGCACCGCCACCGCCGCCATCTCTGAGCGTTTGCCTGCTATCCCGAAATCGCCACCACCCGTGGGTGCGCCCCCCCCTGCCCGTGCCCTACACACGCCAGTCTGCATAACGTGCTCCGTCCCGTCCGTGCTAGCACCAGCCAACTGGAATGGTGATGCCGGCGCGGCCTCCTCGACCTTCGCCGCCGTTTCCCGACTCACTTGAGCCCCGGCTGCAGCTGCTCCTGCCACTGCTAACGGCGATGGCGAGGCGTCGCCCGGCGGCTGCCCAGACGACGCAGAGCCCGAAGAGCCCGGCGAGAGCGAAAGAGAGACCTTCGGCCGAGGGCCTCGTCGTGGTCTCCAGACCGGCGCCGGTGGTGGCGGCGGCGGCGCCCCCGACGTCAGCGGTGTAGTTTCCTGCGGAGGTGTGCGTATGTACCCCCACAGAAACGGTTTTCGGGGGTCGTCACAGGGGGTGTTGTCGGGTGCCCGTAGGGGATAGGGGATAGGGACAGGGCGCGTCGGGGTTAGGGGCAGGAAACTGAGCCGAGAACGCGAGGGGTTCTGCTCCGGAAGCACAGCAGTGACTACTACGCTTCGAGTGCCGTTAGGAGGTTGGTCGAGAGGTTCGCCGTTACTGGGCACCGCAAACTGGTGTGTTGCTCTGCACTCGCGTGGGACAAGGCGGGCCTGGGCAAAAAGCACAAACAAGCATCGGAAATACTCGGTAGGACGTCAACACGGCATTCTCCTGTGGTCTCACCCTCGTAGTGTGTCTCACGCCCTCCTTTCCCAAGGCATCCATCCGCGTCAGACTCGACAAAAAAAAACACACCCCCACGTACCCAACATCTCGAGCAGACTCACCATGCTCAGCGGTAATTGTCTCGCCGCTGCGCTCGCGACCCGGCCCTCGCCCTCCGCTGCCGCCGAGGTTGTTGAACCACCGCCCATAGCTGGAAACGACCTGCCTCTGACTCGGGAGCGGAAGCGAAGCTGCTGGCCCAGCAGGAACAAGAGATCCCCTCCGAGGACACAGAAGGGGAGTACCCCCGCCGCCAGGTAAGCCGGCGGCGCGGGTGGCGAAGGGGTCGCGACGCAGGTTGGGGGTGGCGCAGTGCTCCTCCAAACGGCGGTCGGCGGAGGCGGCCGTGGCGGAGACCGGGAGCGCGAGGCCGCCCGCAGTGGTACCATCGCCGTTGGCGTCGATTGTGTTACCGTCGACGGTGCTGCTATTAACGCTGCTGCCGTAGTTTGCACTGAGTGCGGCAGTTCTACTGGTGGTGTTCGCGCCGGCGGCGCTGCCGTTGGCACCGGGGGTCCACGCCCCGCTGGTTCATTTGTACTGCCCTTCGGCGGCGCTGCATGTGTGGTCGGTTCCATGCCCGTCCGATCCGGGCCCTTGGATCGTGATGCACTTCGTTCCTCAAGGGTAACGTCCGGTGGCCCCGACGACCCTGCGTTTTTTCATGCACGGGGTGTTCGTGTTTCATCGAACGGTGTGGCAATTTATCGGGGTTAACGCAGGCTTCGGAGGAAAAACAAACAGACCAGAAAGATTTCGCACACCTCGGGTGATGAATGCTCGAAGTAGGGTGGGGGTGGCCACCGGTTGGTTCGGGGGNGGAGGGAGGGGGGCACGATTCGCGCACGCAGGGCAAGTGGGGTGCAAAGAACATGACGGCACAACTGCCGGAGGTACCGAACCACAACTACAGCCACAACCAAAACCGATGCGTTTCTAAAGGGGAACGATCACGACGTGCCATGTCGGCACCCACCTGCTATGCTTGGATCGACGGGCTCTGTCATACCGCTGCAATCGATCCGTCGCCGCCACTGCCGCTGTATAGTTGCGCTAGACACACGATCTCCTCTTTCGCCGCTAAAGGTAAGTCCCCGGCAACGACAGCTGGGCGGCAGGAGGCGTCGTGTGCGGAGGAGGCAAAGGGGGAGGGGGGGGGGAGGTGTGCGTTTGATGTTGCTAGACTTGCCACTCCTGATCCATGCTGTTGATACTGAAAAATCGAGCTCTCCGGGGAGCGACGTAGGTGTCCAACGTTCTCGGGGTCCGTGTCGTGCCCCCCAACACTGCTGTAGGACATGGATTCAACCTCCAACAGGGCTATTTATCCATCGATCTACATCACCATTCCTTACTTTTTTCCGTCTCTTGCCTCTGTGCTTCGCTAGACTCATGCCTAAACAACTCTGCTGTTTATTTTGTAGTGCTTACTACCTTCGGTCAGCCATTGGATTTAACCCGACGTGTCGGGGAAACACTGGTTCGAATGTGGTATTTCCTACTGCTGTGGATGGATACGTCGAATCTCCCGCCTGTAAGCATTCAAAAGAAAAGGTCAGGTGTAGTGAAAATAATATAATAACAATGATTAGTGGCCATTGAGGCTGCTGTGTGGCGCAGTCGAACTCCATGCCAGGATGCAGCCGTAGTATGTGAAGGAGGCAGCGACCAACAGAGCCGCGAAAGCATGTACTCCGTACGCACCTGCAGCAGCAGTTGTGATGTAACAGCAGTGGCGCTCGAAGAAGAGCATCATTGCGCGCACATGGCCGATGGGTAGCTTAGCTCTTGCGAGCCCATGAACGATGCATCGAGTTTAGCATACAGAAAGTACAGCAGTTGTCACGGCTGCCCCGTTGCTGCTACATGTACACGTAAAAATGCACGCCCCTGTCGAGTCGGCACAACAAGATCAAGGTGTCAAGGTCAAGTCGGCACAACCTCATCTCACATCTATCTCAAAATATATCCTGCAAAAACGCATAGAGAGGGAGTCGATTCGGGGCCGGCCCTCTTGTGCCGCATGCATCTCTATTGGGTAGTAACATGCACCCTTAACGGTCGAATGCTTTCATCACCTGCGATCGCCTTGCAAGGTCTTCAAGGAGAGGACTGAGCTACGCACGTGACGCCGGGTTGGGTTGTTGGCGGGGAGCCCCAAATGGGAGCTGGACGAGCGGGGTGCGGGGTGCGGGATGCGGCATGCGGGGGGATCGTACAACAGAGTTTTGGTGTTTTGGTTCTCAATTTGAACCTTAATTTGTTTGTTAGGTGGAGAGTAAACATAATTGCGCCGTGTTCCCTGTGCAGGCCACATGTAAATGTACCTACGCAGATGTTTTTGTGCTAAGCACCAACTGGTATCACTGATATAAATCATCAGTGTATAGGCTTAAACAAACTCGAAATAAGTCAAGTACCCAGCTGGTTTTCCTCTACTCACTGTAAAGACTTCAACACATCCCCTTCGAGTGTAGTTATACCTCGAACGGGTAGTCTTTCTGTGTGTATATTCGTTTCTCCTAATAATCTCACAGAAAGACCACCACCCGTTCGAGATATAACCTCAGTCGAAAAGTTTGTTTATTATTTTGTGTTTGGAAATGAAATTCCATTGCCACCAACCACCAACCTCTTGACCTCGGACGGACCCTCAGCCCGGTGGTGGCATCTGACCAGCGGCCACTCCTTCTGTGATGTGATTTACCGACCATTGAACAGTCGGTACGAAGTTGTGTTTTAAAACCTCCAAAGCACTTGTTTGGTAGTGTGCGGACGTTTACGAGGATCAAAACGGGCCAAAAGAGATCAAGAGGCACCACCGCCGGGGATCTGCTGCTTGCTGTACTAACATTGGTGTTCCCGGTGCGCGTCTTTACAAACCCTTTTCGAAGTCTGCATGCTTAACGGAGGCAGATCGATTTAAGAGACGGCGTGCGCATGGCACATGAATGACGGGCTGGAACGTACGTGACACGCCGAAAAAATCATGAAATGTTACGATTATTTAGCTGTAGGAAACCGGTCGCCCCGGTAGTCTAGTTGTATCCTCGTGACACCGCTATTTAGTCGCAGAGGTCGTGGGTTCGAATTTCCATGGGGTGAAAAATATACAAAGTTTGCGAGTGAGAGCGAAAGATAGCTGAATAGCTCTCGTGAGTACCAAACTTCGACCTTGGCACCGTTGACGAGGGAAAGCGACGGCTTGGCCCTTCTCGCGATGAAAAAAATGCAGCACGCACCGCAGGAAGAAGGTGCGGCATGAAAATATATACTCCCCTGGCGTTCACCCCCTGCTGTGTGACCCTGCATGGTTGTAGTTGGACGAAAAAAAACACTAAAAAATGTTCTCTACATACATAAACTGCAAAAAAAGTGTAGGACATGTCTCACCGCGAAAAATGGGGGGACTGTCGCCATAATAAATAGGACGAAAACACACTACACAGGTTCCATTTCCCGGCACCATTTCCCGGCACGTGTGTAGCGTGTAGTGCCTCTCACAGCGTTTCGCTCCTTGCTACCCGAAACCATCAACGGATCATGTCTGCAGACGCTCTGCTCTATACTCTAAACTTGAAGGAGGAGTACGCCGCTTCGGATGTACGTACATCCAGATCTCATCCACCCTATTTTTTCCACCGTTCGACACGGCAGTCTACATCACAACCATTCCCCAGCTTCTTATCGCCATTAAATGATGGACAGAAACAATCCCGAGCTGGAGGGCCAGTTAATCAGAGCTTGAATATTGTGAGGAGCTCGGGGGAACCTGCGCGGTTGATCCTCTCGTGCATGAAGACGCGCCACTGGGAGTGGGCTAGGCTCGCGGCGTAGTCGCGCACGGCCTCCGTCTCGCGTTTACCCTGAAGAAGACAAAAAACACGGGCAGGGCGACGAAGAACCGACGGTACGGCCAATGATCAAGACATTTATGACAGCAAAAAAATTCCAAGTCACCGTTGAGAGGTGACCCCGGAACTTTGTATGTACAACTGTAGTGGCTACGTGTCTTGGACCCAATCTCTTCCGAGATCCAACGCTGTCGCACATAAACTGTGTTTCAATGTGCAAGCAAAGGTGGCTACTGCCGGAAGTGTGCTTCCTGGCTTCGGTAGCTTGTAAGGCCTCGGCGACCACTTGTGAGACAGGATTGAATCACCGAGCGTGCCGCGGGGTACCAGGACGAGGTCGTCAAGCCGTCAGCGCCACTTCCTTGGCCCCCCCTTTGAAAATTGAGCACTCACCTCCGCGTGCCCCCTGTACAACATAACGCTGATCATGCCACCGTGCTTGACAACGCGTTTCGCCGCCTCGATGCTCTCCAGCGTGTCCTCAAGTGTTGTTGTGATGGATTTGTCGCCCCCCGGCAGCCACCCCAGGTTATACCTGGCGAGGTATACATAATAAGGGTAAGGGGACACATGTTTCGCACGTGTTCGGGGATAGGACGACTGGTGGTTAGCTGCGACATTGGTGCTCACTCCTACGTGAGGGCTGGTTCAGCTCGGGCGAACATGAGAAATACGTCCGGCATGCAGGACGGCCTCCGACCACGCTAGTAGTATAATTGAACCCAAACTAGTCCCTGGCACGAGCGGATGATGGACCATCCTCGCCGCTGCCTTCCTACGCCCCACTATTTTCAATTATTTCATCAGACAAGCAGGTGCACCACTTACACGACGAGTTGCACCGACAGAGGCTCCAATTCCGCCGGCATCTCCCGGAAGTTGCTGTTGATCAGCGTCGAGCGTTTCAAGGCAAGTTCACCCAGTTCAGACCTCAACCTCTCGCGGGTGGCCTCGATAGCCCGCTCCTGAGAAAGTCCACCCAACGGAAGCGAGAATTGCCGAGCCGGTGTCAGTTTCAGGAACCAGCGGTCGCACAAAAAAACTAAAAAAATCGGGGACAAGCGCTACGGCGGCTGTGCCTTGTGTCAGGAGTGCTGGCGTGCACAGGCCACAGAATCAGAGATACGCTGAAAAAAAACGAAAAACTCTTCTAGAAAGCTGCTGTGCTTGCCTTACCACGACGGTGGTCGTGCGGTAAGAGCCAAATCCGAGGCACAACGCGAGCCAAGTTGCCAAATCTTTACCGTGTCGCTCAAACCCGGCGCGCCTCGAACCTCGTTGCCGAGCTCGGCAACCCCCATTACGCACCGACTGCACAACTCTGACATACATACCCAGGGGAGTGAACCATCCACTTCGCCGGCACGCAACAAGCTTGCCTGGACATCCATGATGTAGAGTGATCCCACCCCGTCCTTCAGGGCAACGATTTTTGCGAGCTCGAGGCTGTCGTGCCCGTTTCCGGCCGTGCAGTCGAGTACCGTGTCACCCGGGCCGGCGACTTGTCTCCTGGGCAAGACGGGGCGGGGGCATGCGAAAAGTCCGACAACAGCTGTAGAATCATTGCTGCAGCTACAAAAAAACGAACCCTGAAAGTGTATTGCCTCTACAACACGTAATAGTAGTGTAAGTCGAGGACCTATCAGCACCTGGACTACGACTACAACACAAAACAGGGGCCACGTAGATTATTTTACCACATCTCTCCGCCACCACAGCAACCACCGCAACATGAAGGTAGGTACTCTTTCCCCACGCACCGACTCACCACAAGAGATGGGCCATGTGACTGTGAGACGCCGCGGGGTTGTTCCGACTCCAGCGCGCAGACTCCGGCTCCTTGGTTCCGTCTCCACTTTCCTCACCACCTCGCGAGGTCAGCACGGCAGCTTCGGCGGCAACCTGCGTGTCTTCGGACGATTTAGCACCTAGCTCCACGGCCGCCGAATCTCGTCGGTCTAGCGCGGCCTGCACCATGCCGATGGCGTCCTGAGCAGCGGTGGACGATGCTGTCGCCGCGGCTGGGGCAGTGGCCTGGGCTTCGGCGACGGCCGACAGAGCCGCTTGCACGGCGGAGCGCGCTTGTGACGTCACTTCATCCTGATTGGTGGTGGCATAGAGAACAGGG